TATCGAGCACTTTGCAAAAGTAGTTTGGGAGCCTGTTCGGCCGAGTTGTGTGTGAGAGTGTGTGTGTTGTGGAGAATCGGAGTTAACATTGCGGTTGGTGCTTGTGTGTGTTGGAGAGATTAGGACGAGACTTGAATATTTATGAGCTTTGCTTGAAACTGACTCGCAGTGTTTACTTGCCTCTTTGTTCCTTACCCCCTCCCTCCCTCTTCCACACACACTCACGCACATTTTTTTTTTAAAGAAAATCCATTAAACTTGAAACAGTTTCTAATTCCTCCTTTTTGGGGTGATTTTTTTTATAGAAACTAGTTGCACAGATGAAGCAAGATCCACAGGTAAATGCAGATCGTTTTTTCCCTCTTCTTCAGTATTTTATCCCTGCTGTAATAAGCGCAGTTGTGCCGGGACAGCAGGATGAGAAACTTTATCAGTAAGAGATCTCATTTTGTAGTCTTCACTAAGCTTTCCGACTAAAGAGGATGTTTATGTGTGTGTGCATGCTTTTGTACGGCGTTGATGAAACGGTCTTGCCTTTGAACAATGTCTAATCTCAAGTTTATTCATGACAGAGGTTAGTTTACACTCTGCCTTTAATATGCATTTTATTGCCATTTTTGCAGAACGGTGATCTTAAGAAACAAATCCATGAAAGGCAATCAAGAATAGCAGCTCTTAATGAAAAACAAGTAAGGAATAGATCGATTCAATTCTGTTTTTTCCCCCAATGCACTTTCTAAACACTCTAAAAGTGGCTGCATTAGCTGAAAAATACCCGAGAGCAGAGAATAAAACATCCATTTTACTAAGTGTAAAGTGAGGAAAATGCATGTTTTCAAAATGAGATCCGTTTCTTAGATCCCTTGGCTGGGGTGGGGGTTATAATAATGGTAAGAAGATAAGCTGTAGTTAAAACGTAAAAAAATAAAAAAATAAAAAAATGAGGCGTCCATTTTGAGTTGGTCGACATGTTTTAGGAATATGGAAAATTCTCCTATCTTGGGCTACTTTGTGCACTTCCATGCAATGTGCTGAGCAAGAGTTGGGAACAAGCAGACTGGAGCCCAGATAGGAGCCATTTCTGGTGTCAATTGCAAAACTGATTTGTATTGATCACTTTTTTTGCACTTGTCTTTATCTTCCCTTGCTCTGGTCTGACGTGTTAGCTTTGGATTCGAGTTCACTTAGGCACTTTCACTTTTTTAAAAATAACCTGTTCCTGTCATAGGAAAATCTGAGGAGAGGAAACAAAACAAAATAGAATCCTTCCTCTCCTCTCCTCTCAAAAAACTTTTATTTTTTGTTTTTCTTTTCAAATGACCCCTGTGCATCGTGCAATGTTTGACACCCCCCGAGTCCCTAATCCTCTTTTAGGATGAAAGAAAGTTCTCTATTGTGAGTTTGTGTTAGATCAGCTGATGGCGAGGAGCTGTGATTGTTAGGTTTCAGCACCATGATCAGATGCCATTGAACGCTCAGTAGCCCCATGTTTCCCCTGCGCTTTGCAAACGCTGCACACGCACTCTCTCTCTCTCTCACACACACACACTCACACACACGCTCAACTATCCACCCCCCCTTCCCTCCTCCCCTTCCACTTTCAGTACTTCTAATGCTCAAATCAAGCAGCGACAGCAGCAGCTTGGAAAGCGAGTCCATGATCTGCCGGATTGAGTCCCCATAGCAAAGAACTTTCACCGTTCCCTACCCCCTCCTTCTTCACGACTTTCCCCACCCCACAAGACCCTGCAGATTTCCAAAAGCCCCTTTGGCACTACATCGTGCTCCATCACCCCTCTTCTTTTCCCTTGGCTGAATCGATCGCGATTCCTTCGGAATGCAGCAGCTCTTTCAGCACCAAAACTTGGAACAGCGCCTTTGTTTTTTCCCTCTCAATCACAAAACAAGAATCTTCCACCCTATGAAAGAAACCTCAGGATTTGTAATATTCCTGGGGGGAAGAGAGGGAATTATTTTTGTATGCGCGTGGAGTTGTGGTTAAAGTTGAAAAGTGATCCGTGCATATTTAATTCGTGCTCATAGAATGCATGCATAGATGGTGGTGATTATATGCAACCCTTTTCCGCCCAGTTTATTGTAATCAGAATTTGTCAGCACTCTCAATTTGGTAGTGGAAGCTTCCATTTTGTGAGGAAGGGGTGTTGGTTTCTTCCTAACATGGAGAAAAGTCTGCAGAGTTTGAAGGTGGGGGATGGGGCCCCATTCATGCTGAACATTACCATTTTGATTGCTTTGATGCCATTTTTTGAGGGGGAGGGGATAGAATACCCTACTCAGCAGAGCACAAAGATGTTTAATCACTGTATAGAATCAAATCAGATACTTTCTTTTTTAAAGCAAATCTGACACTACATGATAGCTAAGGACTGTTAGTCCTTTTATGCTGTGCAGAACAGCAAGTTGTTGACTCTAATACTACTACACTGAATAGAGTTTTTTTGGTATTTTTTTAAACCAAGGTAACATTCTTTACTGCAACAATGCATCTTTATGTGTTCTTTCTTCAATATGGAAATAGTTTTATTGGTTTTAAGTGGTATTTAGAACATACATTTGATTGTTTTTTCTGTACTGTAGCAACTAGACTGTTTAAATTTTTATGATGATAGTAAATGAGAAGCTATTTATTATGTGACACACTGGAATTTAGATAAGGCAGAGAGGCATCTGAAATACAGTTTGAACATTCTGATGCAGTTGGGTGTAAATCTTACACAATTTTCTTTGAACCTCAAACTAACTAGGAAACAAGGGTTACATGTTATTTTTAACTCTACTAGTTATCCTGTTTTCTAAAAATCTCTCTAAAGTGCAAAGTAATTAAAAATAAAAATGAGCAAATAATAAATATTGGCCTAGTGATTGAAACCAGTATTTTTCTACAGAAGTTGACAGTATTATCTCTTTTCTGCTTATTTTGATATTAGAGCCTTATACACAGGGGCTAGGTGGTGATGTAGCATACTCTTGCTCCATGCTGCCCACTTCTGGAGGCCTGATTTGAATTTTTCTTAGGTCACAAGTGAAATGAGTTTGGAGGCCTCGGCTGTTGACTATGTCACAAAAAATTCACATAACTTTGCAGATTTTGGTATGATTAGTATTTTTCTCTTTAGGAAAAGGTTCAATACTGAATTATCAGGTATTTAGGTTATGATAGATGCACCTTGAAAATTAGTTTGGTTTGACCAATCATGGATCTGTTATTGTTCCGTCTCTTCCTTGCATGAGTACTGAACCTCCTACTCCTAGTATACATTTAAATAAAACTTATGCAGCTTGGAGGGGCAGAAGTGGCTGTTTCAGTATATACTTTTGAAAACAGTGGGGTTTTAATTTATTTTTAAATCAGTTGTAGATTTGTTTAGGCACAACTGATTTAGAACACAACAATCCTTGCCTCTATTGTGCATACACTGAATACAAAATATATTAATATTACATTTAAATTAAAATGCACATGTGGATGGTAATAAAATGAATAGGTGCTCACACTAAATACATCTGTTAAAAATATAATAGTGGGGAGTAGTATCTTTCTCTGTCCTAATCCCCAGTTTCCCTTCTGAGCCATTGGAATTTATTGCAACATGTACTTACAAAAATTGAAAATAAGCACATAAAGTATTTAGACAAATCCAAGCATTTGGGCATGAGATCAAATGTGCAAAACCGACTTATGCAAGAAATTATACTTTAATTTACAATAAAATTTCTCCTACATTGCCAGCATACAGGAATATGGAATTAAATGTACTTTATAATATTTATTTGAAAATGGTGGGAAATATTAAAGATGTTGTTTGGGTTTTTAGCATCACTTAAATCAATACTTAAATTTGCTTCTTGCTCAGAAAGGCAAAGTTAGACTTTCTTATGTTAGTCTACCTACACATTCTATACACTATAATTTTGATGAATTGTAATACCATTTGAGAGTGGGTTACCTCTTCTTTAACAAGATATGATGTGTGAAGACTCCATTAGTTGGTCCAGTGGTTTTACACCTTGAATCCACATCACATGCAGAGCAGCAGTACTGCTTTTTTATCTAAATTGTCAAGCAATAAGCATTTATATGTAAATAAAAAGAGTAATCATAAGAACCAGGTTTGTTCTTTAAAAGCACATTTGAAATGCGTTGACACACATATTTTTGTGCATTTTGTATGGCTATGAAGTCAGTAAGCTGTTTTTTGGAAGTTACTTCTTAATAATAACACTTAACTGATTAAAAACTAAACAAACCCCCAAGCCATAAGTTAAACAGTTTCTGACATCAGCACTGGGTGGTAAACCAGGACTTGAAAATTAACAGTAAGGATGTGTAGACAGATTTTCAACTGTGATGAACTCTGAATTCAAACAATCTTTCCTGGAGCACAGCAATAAAAATATGTCTTCCTGAAAGACATTATGTATATGTCATTCATTTGTGCACTGCCTCATTTCTTTACCATAATTTACTATCTACATAGAAAATCAACATTAGTCTCAAAGAGGCTGTCCTAAGCTGGGGTTATTGCCGGTTTGTCTTTTTGTAGTACATATCTGAAATTAAATCATTGACTGTACTGTGCCATTGGTGACCTCGTCAAAGTATCATCATGGGATGTGTTAGACTTTGTAAAATCAGTGTGCACTTCTTAAGCACAGGGGGTTTGTTGGAGACTCTTTCATTTAGGATGTCTGCTTTATGTTTGTTGTGTCTATCTTTCAGAGGGGTGTTTTTTGGTGTAGTGAAATCCAAGTTGTGCTATGTCTGAAAATGGCAGCATTGTTTACTCATGTTAAAGGGGAAATGATTGACATTTGCTAAAGCTCAGTATTTCATATAGTTGGGGACTTTCAAAATTGTTGAAATAAAATAGAGGTTACAAGTGTCAATGAAAACAGAGATAAAACCTGAAAGGGGTTTCCAAATTAAGTAGAACCATGGTCAAATTCTGTCCACAGAAAGACAGACTGAGAGAGACAGAGAGAGCGAGAGAAAACTCTGTAATTTATTTTGGTGGCAATAGTATCTACGTATAAACCTCAGAGCAGAATTTGTATCTAAGGGCCCTATCCTGTGCTCACCGAAGTAAAAAGAGAATATTTATAGTGAAGTAACATTTAGGAGCCCCAGTTATGGATCAGCACTCCACTGTGCTAGGTGCTGTAAAAATAGAATGAAAAGACAGTCTCTACCCCAGAAGACCATTGGACTGGGCCTTGCATCGGTCTGTAAATTGGCGAGGAATCTTGAAGTGGGTTTAAATGTGGGCTTGACTTTGCAGTCCTTCTGAACATAGAGCTTCTATTGACTTCACTAGGAGTTCTGAACAAATGGAGAATCAAGTGAAATTATTGGAGCTAAGTGAAGATTAGTTCTGGGCTGGTAATTTAGAAAGCTATAGGTCCTGATTTTTTTGCTACAATCAGCTAGTAATTTATTGGTTGCTTTGCTATCGAAGTAAAAATGACAAAATGGAGACAAATTTACCACCAGCTCCTTGGAGAGGAAACTTAGGAATGTAGTTTATATAATGGCAATGTTAGCATTCTTCTTTATGCTTTCAATAAAGTTACATGAGATTAGATGCCCATATGGGTGGAGGTGGAGGAGACTGCAAAAAGCATTTTCACAGAGTTTGAAGTACCACACAGATAAATATAGTAGTGGCTT